ACTGCATCTTGTACTGTTTCCAGCAGAAACTTGGTTCGACCATCATAACATCTTACAACAATAGCTCGGGGCTTGTTTTCGCGAAGGAATCTAACAAATTCGTGGAATTCCTTAATATCCCTATTCCTCAAGTCACTAAAGCCGAGTTTCTCAATAAGTTTGCCGTTCTCATCAATGCAAACACATTCTGTCTCACGACGACCTCCGGGACCCCATGACAAAGCTGCCACCCGAGGGATTTCGTCAGAGTCCATTCTAGCAGATCTGAAAGGACGAATGTTTAATCTCTATATATACACATATGACATTCGTATCTTGAGTAATTTATCAAAGTGATGAATGCCAACGAAAAAACAAACAATTAGTTACATTTTCAAGACTTTTCATCGTTTCAGCCATAATCCATTGTTCAGCATCATTAGTGAGACGGGACTTAATCCAAAGTTCCATCATTGGACGTAGCATATTTATGAATGCCTGGTTAACCGCATCTACACGATACTTGTTCCATGATCTATCTAACTCGGTAGAGTTGTTAGTAATATGCTTCTCGAAAGTCCCCATAAAATCTTCCTCATGTTCCAACGCAATTGTGACTTTGACTTGTCCTCTTTTCTCGGCTGACATTATCTCGGAAAACAATCCACTATTTTTAAATTTGCTGATATGCTTTCTTAAAAATCTAAATGGCTAACGAATTTTTTTCGTAACTAATAAGACAATGCGAGTACCCTTAATAAAGATATTAATATTCCATTTCTTACCCAACAAGGATCTGTTTCGCCAATGCTTTTCACCGATCTCACCACGATCACACTGTGTCTAAGGTAATATTGACGAACGTATTTCCTAAATAATGGATTAAATGCGATGTCTTGTGAAAGCATCTTCACAGCATCTAAATAGATAAAGTTATAATTTAAATAAATTTAAAAGGAATAGCTCACGTACGAAAATAAAAAATTAACCTGCTAGATCTTCCGCGGGATTAACAGAAAACTGCTCTTCAATAAGAGAGTCTAATCGGGATTCAGAAGGTCTATAGTACTTTAACCTTTCATCAATAAAGCTTCTACCAAATTTTTCTACATCAACTCCCATACACTGTAAATAGTTATGAAAACATGTTAAATTTAAATAAATTCATCTATTCGTTCGTTCCACATCGAGTAATCAAATTCTATACCTCAACCAGTTTATGAAGTCCCCTGTTGAAACAAGACTCATAAAATGTCGTCCTTTTTAAGCGACGACGAGTAGTTGAGCTTTCTGACTTTGCTGCTGCAATTTCCTTCCAAAATCGATGGTGAATATATTCATGCAAATCGGACAGAGATTCTAAATTTGATGCGGATACTAATACGTCTGTCACATAATCGTCATCAATCTGGTATTTTGACAACATCTCCTCTATCGATTCTCGCTTTTCTATAAATAACCTGTATTGGTACTCCAAGTCATATACATGCCACAAATCAGCCCGATCGATAATTTCGTGAGATACTGAAAAATCACTATGAAATTCTGCGATATAATCACGTCTATAGGCGTATATATATGGAACCTATAAATTTACATTTGGTAAGCTTCATAAAAAGATGAATAAGCGGAATGTTCATAAAAATCAACACCTCCAGAAATTCCTGTCCTAAACATTTCAAAACTCTTTTAATCGCTACGAACAGTTGTTGTGTCTTTCGACGACCATCATATTCAACTAAATTGTCGCAAATAATCTTGGCGGCTTCATCTATCTCCTTATCAGTCAATTTTCTATCGGCGACAATATCAGGTCGAAGCTACAAAAATGAAACATGTAATGTATATCTCAATTTTTTTAACCAAGAGTTAAATGTTTATAAGCTTACGAGCATTCTTTCGGGTAAATCTTTAACTTTAATTGTCTTATCAGCATCGGTCAACCTCAACTGTTTTAATGCGCTTGGATCCAGAAGAGCTTCTATCCCTTCAGCAGGTTCAAATTCTTCGGGTTCTTCCTAAAAGTTCAAAATAATAATGAATACACAACGCTGAACGTACGGTATCCATCACATGAAAAACTTACATAATTATGCGCAAATTCATATTTCTCATCAATGTCGTGAAAACACTCGATCCAAATTCTTCAAGATTGGAATTTAAACTCAAATATCAGTAGACGCTATAAAGAGTAAATGCTCTTTATAAACCTACTTGTCATCTTCGCCACCACTATAATAAACTTTACTAGAAGAATATCGCTGATTTCTTTGTTCTCTGTCTATTTCGTCAACTCCAGCATCATCATCATCGTCATCAACAACAAAATCAGAAACATCTTCAAATTGATCTTCCATTGCTTCATCCTCGTCAAAAATTCGTGACACATCAGGCTTATTCTCTTGGTGTCGACCTCTTTTTAAACGTTTAAATTTTGGCTAAAATCGTAATTTATTTATATTAATAATGTAATGGCATAAGCTTCTAAGAATTGCATCATAGAAATTTACTTCGCTCCTCGCAATCTTTATGCCTGTATTTTCTTCTAATAAATCTAAATCATCATCAGAAATTTCGTCTTCATCCACTGTTAAAAAACAATAAACAACACAAGTCAGTCCAAAGTGAGAATAAAACGTGAAACAGTAACATCTAGTAGGAATTACAGTCAAGGCTCTTTTCTCTTTTTCTCTTTTTTTGTTTTTTTTTTTTTTCGAGGTGGTGTAATCTCCTCTATCTCTTCATCCTCTTCATCGTCAACAATAAAATCTTGCGCAACCTAAAAAGAGTATGTTTCATTTCTCATCAACGTTCAATGATTTCGGCGATTCGATGGTGTTCGATTGGGTTACCTTTCTTGCTTCTTCTTCATCAGTCTCTTCATCCTCTTCGGAAGAATCTATTGGCATTATTCGGTTTTCATTGTCTTCAGCCTCATCTTGTAAAATTTCTTCTTGATCTTCTTTCTCGAAATCCGACATTTTTTTAAAAAGAAAATTATTATAATTACTTCTTTTATATAATGAAGTACTATTGCCAAAGATTAAAAAATCATGTGAAATTTAAATATATGTTAATTTTTTACTGTAAGCCATGTGATTTACCTACATAATCATCTAGATCTTTCTATTGAGAATATTATAATAAAAAATATTAATGAATTTTATTAAATTAAAAATAATAAATTTATTTTATTTATTTAATTCTAGATTTTTTAAAATTACTTTTATTTAAAATATATTTATTAGTTAATTTTTCATAATCTTATTATTTTCATATCTTTTTGAAATATTTTAAATCTTTATTACTTTTAAATTCTTTTTTTAATTATTACTTTTAAAAAAATTTTTTATAAATTCTTTTTTTTTTTTGAATTTATAAATACAATTTAATCCAAAAAAAAATTAAAATAAATTTTATTTCTATTTTATTTCTAATTTTAATAACTAATAAATAAAATATTATAAATATATATTTATATATTTAAAAATATAAAAAACAAAGTTTATTTAAAAAACTTTTTTTAAATATATTAATAAAATATTATTAAATTTTAACTTAAAAAAATAAAAATAAATTAAATTTATTACAAAAAATAAATAATAAAAAATTATTAAAATTATTTTATTATATAACTTTGTTAAATAAGAATATACAGTACAATATACTGTATTATTTTCAATAAAAAAAAAGTCTTAAAAAAAAGTGTAGATCTTTTTATAAACAAAATATCTGGTGACATCTTTACAAAATGCGTAATGTTTGAGTTAATAGTGTCGAGTGATTTTCTTCCACTCAACGTAATATATTTTAAATGGCAGAGGCTAATTTTCTGGAAAAAGTGGATATAGTAAATACGGATCAGAACTTAGGTGATGAGGAAGAGGATAAACCTTCTTTTCAGTCTCAAGAGAAATTACCAGAAGCTCCCATTGAAATTTTATCTGATATAGAAATTGCTCCCGATAACAAGACCAGGTTGCAATCATTTGAAAATGTAGTACCCGACAATAATGAAACAAGGAACCAAGAAAATTTGGATATTAATCGTGATGTTGGAACTGATTCCACGTATAATAACGCCGAGACGATTCTACGAGATATAGAAAAGGTGTGTATCTTAAAGCGTGATAAGATTGAAATTAGACGGATGATTCAATTCTTACCCTTAGGGAGTTATTACTGTAAGAGAAGGTAATGATCAGGAAACTCTGGACTCGGAACTTGTCAAATTGGAGAAAATTCCAAAAGTAAGGTGATTTCATTTGGAACAAGTTTGGCGAATTGTATGATTTTAACTTGTTCACAATTTTATTAGTTTGAACCGTTAATCAAGGTTCATCCTGAAACAAATTTCACACTTGGTGGATTATGGGCTTATAATCTCACGTCGCAAGAATATGATAAAGAACGTGTGTCAACCTTTATACTTGAATTTCTCTTTATTTGTTTGCTTGACCGAGGTTAACATTAAGAATTACAATCTTAGCATCTTTTGGATACGAGTCTTTATACAATTTTTCATCAATTTATCAATCTCACATGCAAAGGTGTGCTGAAGAAATATGTGAAGATCAGGTATTAATTATAAATATCCTTTGGTGACAATGTAATAGAGAAAATCCCATTAAGATATATTCGCTTCGAAATTCTTTAGCGAATAGTAATGGAGACCGTGAAATCAGTTGACGAATATTGTGCTAGAATTAGTCAAACGATGATTGCCACACAATTACAAGCAAAAAACGATCAGGAACAGATTAGCGTTGGTAAGTGTTGTTTGTTAGTTGGTTAAATTATTTGTAGTTGGATTAATTCCTATTTCGTTATTTTAGTTAGCGGTTTAATGAAGCAGGCAGAAAAAACTCGCAAATTGACATATGAGATATTCCAAACTCTGAATAATATGGACATGATATTACCGGAAGAAGAACGGTTGGTAAATCGATTGGCAAGTAATAAATGGACTTCACTTTGCAAATTTCGATTGAGCATGAAACAAAACCAACACTATGGCCCCCTTACAAAAAGACTTTCACGTATCAATCCAAGTCATTTGAAAGTTTCTTTAGACACCGTTTTATCAGAAAAACATCAATATACAGATGCCACCAGTAATTTCAATGTGAGTCCAGATCGGACAACACTTTCCAGTATCCAAAGTTTTGATAATAATGTGTCCAATCGTCTAAAGGAGATAGTTTCAAATAAATCACATAATGCAGAAGAAAGGACTTCTACCCAATGGTTCCCTTTGCCCTTAGGATCGGTTCCAATTTTTAAACGCGTAGTCAATAACACAAACGTCGAAAATACTGTGTCATCATCTGAAATCGCTGATAACGCTGGATTGATAACTTCAACCTCAGATACACCAGCGCCTGTTAATAAAAAATTGCAATCTTCCGTATCTCTACTATCAGCAATGCTAAAAAAATCATCGGTTCAGTGGGAGAGTGGACCGAGTCACAAAAATTCATCAAAAGATGGCAAAAAGAAATCAACAAAGTCTGAGTCGGGATCGAACCGTGACGAACCCCTGAATTCGAATGATCGAGTTCGTCTGGTTGAAAGGAGGAACGTTGTTAAGCATGCCGAAGAGGGTGCAAGTGACAGCGATGAAGAAAGTCATAGTGCAGATGAAGATCACTC